ATGCAACCGTGGGACAACTCCAAGTTGAAATTTTCTCATACTTTTTGATTCACACAGTTTAAAGTTAATCTTCAACTTTTGTTTTCCTTTAACTTTTCTTTCTTCCATGTATTTAATATTTTTTTATGAGGTCGATACAATGGTTACAAACTTAATAAGGTTTATACTATTTATGTCAAAATAGTGAACTACTACATTTTGTAACATTAAAACAGAAGTTTGCAAATTGTTTCTAGCATGACCAAGTAGGTCTTGGTGTAGGGATACTTGATAGTTGAATTTATTTAAAGTTAATAGTTCAAATACATTTGAAAGAATGATTTATGTTTTAAAACGGTATTATGAACGGCTTTACTATCACAAGAGATGAAATAATATTGTCTAACTAAAAGCATATGGGGAATAGCATTAAACTTGCTATTTCACCAAACAAACCTACTATTTACTGTTTAACTACAATTATGTATGGTTTATTTGGTGGGTTATGACAAATATTATTTACTATTAGATTGGATATATCATATGCATAGTATACATATTCTGTTCACACATGGAGAAATTACTTTGTCGAGCTGAGTTAAAGTAAAAACATGAAGCAAAAAGGGCTATATATGAATAAAATATGAGAGGAAGGTAAAGTTCATATTATTTAGACATAAATGTCAAAGAAAGAGGCTAATAGTGCTCAATTACAATCAGATCATGACCCCAAAATTAATCAAACTTTTAAATTAAGCTTGTTGGATGACCTATTAGTCAAATAAGAAACATTTAAAGTTTCATTTTCTTTCTATGCGCATAGTATACACTTCTTTTTAAAATGTTTATAATACATTTATGATGAATAAGAAAAGATAGGTACGTAGAGCCAAAACAATTGTTGTAGGCATTGAGTTAGAGCAACTCCAACCTTACACCATATTTGGTGTTGAAATTACACTAAATTTGGTGTTTTGGTGTCAAAAAAGTTTTTTCATCTCCAACCACAACACCAAATTTTACACTATAAAAAAATTATCTATTATTATATTATTAAATTTAAACTTTTTCTTTTTCTTTCAATAGTTTGATAAATGATAATTAATTGTAAAACTCATTTATTATAAGATAAATATTATATTACAATCGATAACGACAA